CTGCAAGAGAGGCCGGTGTCGGTGAGCACGCGACGCTCCGCGGCCTCCCTGCTGCTGCCCTCACACTTCACATTTCATCATCCCTGGATTTTTGGCCCCCAACGTGTTACCCACCCAGCCGGGGGCGTTTTTCCCCAAGCACTGAGTCCCGTCACCCTTTCCCAAAAATCCCTTTCCAAGGTCCGGGCGCAGCCAGTGGCTCTGGTGCGGATGCTGCGCTCCGAGCCGGGCTCAGCTCCGGCCTGCGCAGGCGGAGGGAGGTCTGGAGCGGTGACTCATCATCAGCGGCAGAGAAGCCGCGTTTCTGTTTTCCGAGGAAATTCCTTGTAGTTTGTGAAGCGAAATGGGCTGGCGAGAGCCAGTGCTGGGAAAGGCTGTGGAGACGGAGGAGTCTTCCTGGGGAGCAGCGGAGAGTCTGGGAGTCAAGGGCAGGGGAAGCGCTCCGGGTCTGCCCGACCCTGCTGCCATCTGTCCCTCTCCCAGGTTCTGGTGTCAGCAATTATCCCGGCTGTGTTGCAGCGCAGGATGGAGGAAGTTTGAGAATAAAAGGTGGAAGGGCACTTTGCTGGATGCTTTAACTAGCCCGGGAGGCTCCCTGCAGGCAGAAGAGCAAAAGGTGCTTCCCACACGGAGCGATCCGAGCACAGCGGGTCTCCCGGAGCTGATCCTGCACCCACTAAAGCGTTAGCAAGGCAGAGCTCCTTGGAAACCCTACCAGGATTGGGATTGCTTAACTGGGAACCGTTTTCTTGGCAGCCGTGCTGGCTGGACCACGGGTTGGGAGGGCTTCTGCCTGCACTGGAGCCAACGTTGCTCCAAAAGGAGTTTCACAAGGGGGTGAAAGCTGAGGGTCTTCCTCGAGATGGGCTTGGAGTCCTCCCGGCACTGCCGAGACTAGAAATAACTCAACCCACGAGCCGCAATGGGCCTGACAGTGACGGGGGCCATCAGTCATTTGAAATCTTCATCATCGTCATTGTCATGATGATCAGTGCTGTGCCAGGTTCTTCCTTGAAGATCCCACGGCACATTAGTCTTCCCATTTTGCTCCGTGCTTGGAGCTTGCACAGATGCTTCAAGTAATGAGCTCGCTCTGCTGGGACCTGATATAACTTGCCAAAATCCCGAGAAAATCACCTTGTGTTTATCCTTCTTGTGAAGACATCGCGGGTTTAAAGCTCAGGCCTGCTCTGAGAAATAAGGCTCAAAATTGCTTTATGCAAATGTGACTCCTCTAATTGAATCTGGCAGAGTTTGTGGTCCGCGTGCGCGTGTGGAGGCCCGTCTGGGTAAATGCCAGCCCTGTGCTGGGCTCTGCCATCTCGCTCACACCGGAGCTCCCCGAGGGAGCTCAAAACTCCCTGCTCCACAGCCCACTCGCCGCAGCAATGTGCAAAGCACCAGAAACCTCCCCTGTCTTGCAGGGTCACACGGGGTGACATGCGGGTCTGCCAAGCTGCTTTTTACCTGCTGCTTTGAGTCATGCTGCAAAACGTGTCAGAATTTGCTTTCAGAGCAGCACGTACCGGGAAGCGCACGGCGGAGGATTTGTTGCAGTGCACCGAGATGGGCGCGAAGCCGTAGAGGGATCGGAGCACGTCCCTGTTGAACGAGTTCCAAGGCACGGAGGCAAACTGCTGCGGCACGGAGACCTGCGGGCACGTGCAGACCTCCTCGTCGTTGAACCTGGAGCAGGAGAAATTGAAGGTACCGGGATGAACAGCGACTGGGTCAGCCCCCATCCTGCTCCCTCCCCGCGCTGGGGCTCGCTACCTGTTGACAAGGTTGAAGTATCGGTGCAGGTAGCCGGGGTCCACGGCGCTTTTGCACAGCTCCAGCTGTGTCTGGGGGTAGTAGTGCACGTAGTTCACGCACATCTCCTCCATGATGCCAAAGCCACCCTGCAGAGAGAGGCACACGTGTCACGGGCACTGCCGGGATGTCACCGCGTCACTCCGGCGCATGCCCCACAGGCAACGCCAACGGGCCGCAGTGATGCACCCTTGGGTGCAAGGGATCAGTAGCTACTTAGACAGCTGTGCAAGGGCAGACATTGGGGCTAGCTAGTGCAGTTTACATTAAAACGCACATTTTCTATAATCCCTCTGCTATATTTAGCTTTGTCTCTGTTGATGGTACCTCTGACAGCCTCTCTCTCCCTGCCTATGTAAGAAAATAACACGCACTGTCAAAAGAAAAAAAAAAACTGCTTCTCTTTAATTACAGTTAATACCCAGTGGAAGAGTCTGTGATGGGGATCAGAGTGACACACGCTACTTTTCAATTAGCACCTTCGCTTCCCAGCTGCAGGCGGACGAGCCTCGTGGCTTCGCCGCTGCCGCCCTCGCTCTGCTTTTACGGCTCCGTTTTGGGCAGCCCTCGTGCACCGCCAGCCTTGGGCCCGAGCCAGCGCCCTGGGCGGTCCCAGCCGTCCCGCTCGGCGCTGCGGATGCTCAAACCAAAGGTCGGATGCAGGGGAGCCCCGGGCGTGCCCGTGCGCCCTCACTCACCACCGTCACTTGGCTCCTGTCCTGCGTGTTGTAGGTGCAGGTCGTGATGAGCTCGTCGCCCTGCGGGTTCAAACACAAGCACGTGGCCCTGTTGCGCAGCAACGTTTCCCATCTCCGATCCGTGCATTTTGGGATTGGTAAGTTGGTCGTGGCCAACAGGCACCCCAGGATGGAAAGGGCAGCTCCTGCATGGATACAGCTCCAGCCTCCTTCAAATCGCCTCCCCAGGAGCCTTGGATAGTGGCAGCAGGAGCCCAGATAGATGCTGGGCTAAAAGCTACGATGCTTAATCAAGGCTAAATTGAGCTACAGGGATGGTTTAGCTGCCCAGATGCCGGAGAGACACAGGCCTTGGGACACCCAAGACATCCACATGGAGCTGGCAGATCCCAGCCGGAGCCCCGCGCGCTTCCGCCAGCCCCGGGATTGATGCTGCTTGCAGTGGCCTCCCCAACGAGCAAAGCAGGAATCGCAGGTCCAAGGGCCACGCTGGCCCTACGCCTGAGTCAGGGCAACCTCTCGATCTACTCGGAAGCCATCACGGGTTTGAGAGCCACTCACGGGCAAAACGGGAACCAGCTCCTTTAGCATGCGGATCTCCTGGGGGAAAGAGGGCGGATTAGATCGGAGCCGGGACACGGTGCCAGAGCATCCCGGAGCTCCGGGGCGGCCGTACCTGGAAGTGGGGGCTGTAGTGCCTGTCGGCATTCACGACGCGCCGCGCTCGGCCGTCCCGCGCCAGCACCGTCACCACGGTCCTCCCGGCCAGGTGCGTGTGGAGCTGCGAGGCGAAGATGCGGATGCCGTCGGGAGGCAGCGCCTGGAGGAGAGCGGGGCTGGAGCGTCTGCGCCCGGCCTTGTCCCCCTGGCCTCGTGGAGCTCCGCGGAAATTGAGGGAACGTTTGCGTTAGCCGAGGGGAGAAGAAGGTCTTGCTGTGGAGAGCAGCGGTAAGTTTTCCTAGGGAATGGGACTCCCGGGAGCGGCAGCAGGTGGATGCTGAGGAGAACGGCCTTCCAGGGGAATTCAGCGTGTCCCACGCATCTGGGTAACGTAACGCTGCTTGGTGTTTTTCTTTCCAGCATTGAGTCTGAGGACCCCATGCTGGTTCAGCCGTC